TTTATATTGACAAAAATTAATTTTGTTTATGAAATTTGACATTAAATTCTTATAAAATTTGTTTTATTAATATTTTATCTTTAAAATTAGATAAAACATATCGTATCTAAAAAGCTGTCGAGTATACTAATTTATGAAAATAAAGCTACTTGTCTCGTGTTTGAGAATATTAAAAAAAAAAAAAAAAAAAAAAAAAAAAAAAAAAAATCGAATAAACAGACTAATATCTTTCTTATTTGTAATATAATACACATTATTACAATAAATCATTATAAATTTAACATTTTCAAGTATTTATATTTATCTGTTAAGGCTTTCCCTCTAATTCAAATTGATTTAGTACTAAAATTATATAATTTACGCAAATGATTTCATAGCAGAAAAATATAGAATATTAACTTTTCCTTAAACGCTATAAGTAATCTATTATTTTTAATATGTGAAGGTCGCCTTGCAGAGCTCTAAATTAATATATAAAAAAGAACTTACAAAATTAGTTTTATCGCACACATGTGCACAAGAATGAATATATTATCAAATATTTTTAAAATTGCACATAAAATTTATTTCTCGTCGATAAGCTTACGTTTGAACGAACTTGTACACAACAAATCACCAAATTTGTAATAAAATTATTATAGTAAAATAATTTTAAAAAATTAAAAAAAAAAAACAAATAAATAAATGTTAACGCTAGAAATTTTTTTATTAAATTATCATTTCCGATCATGCAATGATACTAGAATACAAATAGCGCGCGCGCACTATGTTGCCATGTTCATTTGTTAAATTTCACAAGTCTAATGCACAAATTAAGCAATAAATATGCAATTAACTTATTGAAACCAAATTTTTCATTGAAATTCTTAAGGCATGTGTAATGCTCTTGAGATTGTGTAGCCTGTTTACCTTATAAAAAAAAAAAAAAAAAAAAAAAAAAAAAAATATATATATATATATATATATATATATAATTGACAAGCAACGTTAATATTGGAATCATATTCATAAGCTATTTTTCAATAATATAGTTCAATAAGATGTTCAGAGTATATGATACACTTGTTTAAAATGCACTGCACACATGTACAAATGTAAAGTACACGTAAATATTCATGTACAATGAGAGGCTTATGAAATATGATAAAATCATTTTTATCTCAATACTATGGAAAAGTTTGAAAATAGGCTAGTAATAGTGGAGTTGTTACATAGAGGCCCCGTCATATTCGAAAAGTTTTAATTCTTATAAAATGTTTATCCGGCAAACTCTATATATTTTTATTATTTTTTCTTGCAGTAAAGAGAAATCCTGCGATTTTTTGATACGTTAATTGCAAATTGTTGCAAAAATAGTAACTGATAGACAATACTGTTAATTATATTTATACGTATCGTCTTTAACGAGGATGTTGAATATTTTGCGAACGTTTTTATAAATTTATAAACATAATTTGTGAATAGAATTGTTTATCAAAATTTTTAAATAATAAATAAAGATGCTGAAACGTTGAATACTTATTGTTGCAATAAAAATGATTTAAATTTATTTCCGTATTGTCGAAACGCGTTATGATGAGATACATTTTATTAATTAGAGCTACTTAATGTGTATTTTGATATTTAGAATAATTGTGAAAATAGTATTTCTTTTATTGCAGACATCAATGAATGATTTTTGCAGATCCGTGTGCGTGCGAACATTAATTTTTATACTAATAAAAATGCCAATTTTCTTTTTTTCTTTTTTTTTCTTTTTTTTTTTTGCTTTTCGTCAACTTAATTAATCGAGGATAAATTCATATAAACTTTATTTCTCAATGTTAAAAAATGTCCCATCAACAAAAATACGAATAGTCACTGGTATACAAGCTGGAGGAAGGAAAGAGAGCGGAAAACACGTGTTCGTATGACGTTCCGGTCATTTTCATATCCTCACGTGCGTCATACGTCATTATATTTTTAACATTTGACAAAGGACTTGCATAGCCGATATCATTAATTAAAAATATCATTCATTTATATTTATAGAATAATGGAAAAAGCAGCAGAAATAGTGGCATCATATTTATTTATTTTGTTGTTGTTGTTGTTGTTGTTGTTGTCGTTGTCGTCGTCGTCGTCGCCTATCTCTATAAGGGATTTACGAACCTCATCATCATGGAAAAGTCCATTATCCATACATACATTTTACATTACGTACAGTCGCAAATGCATATGCGAGTCCATGTACGTATGTGTGTATGCTCCTTTGTACGCGCGTCTTTGTTTAAGATGAATATTTGGCTTAGTAAATTCTCGATAGTAGACTCGCACGATTCTATGGCAGCTAATTTTCAAATTTCAATTGCACGCGAGCAATGGTCGATTAGTCTTTTGAGGAGCTACAGTCGCCAATGGCTTGCGCTATGAGGTTATGTTACTCTAGTACGTTGTTTAAAAAGTATTGATTGCTGTTATCTAAAAGTGTTTGCACGTCAAAGTCGACTCTTTAAAATTTCTATGGCATCCAATGCATTTATTTATACGAGAATAAATGGAATAACATCGTTATTATTGTTATTTTTATTATTATTCTTATTTTATTATTATTATTATTATTATTATTATTATTGTTGTTGTTTTTATTATTATAGAGCAGCACCACCACTTTGACATTCGATGGCTGAACAAAATTTATAATCTCAACGAAATGGCAATGTCAATTAAGCAAATGATTCTCGCTCGAGAGAGTCCAAGCTACTTCAAAATACTATAAGTAACACGACGTCGCTTTTTTTTTTGTTTTGCCTCCTCCTCTTTGCAAAACTGATCACAAGGAGGTCGTCACTTTGACATTGCTGACGAATGAAAAAGGAAAAAGGCAGATATTCGCACCCCAAGCACTAGCACGGAAAATACAAATTTAATGCGTTATATGCGTGCGTGCGTGCGTGCGTGCGTGCGTGCGTGCGTGCTGGCATGCGTGCATACGTGAGTACGTGCATTCGTCCGCCTGTCCGTCTGTCCGCCTGTGCGCCTGTGCGCCTGTCCGTTTGTTCGTTCGTTCGTTCGTTCGTTCGTTCGTTCGTCTATCCGACACGACGATTGCATTCTCGGCTTCTCTCCAGCCGCAGACATAACGAAACTTTCGCGAGCAAGCATTTCAGTAGAAACAGATGGACGCGCGTCGACCAAGCTCACACCACGTACCCACACAATACAATATCCAAAAGTAATACGAAAACACCATACCGCGCAATGACTTCTCGTCCATGGACACCATGAGTCTCGAAGAGGTCGGCTCTTTTGAGTGTGCGTTTTGCGGGGTAGTGGTGTTGGTGTTGATAGCGGTGGCGACGGCGGTGATGGTGCTGGTGGTGCTGCTCGCGGTGTCGGTCGTCGTCGTCGTCGTCATCGCGTACACATGGATCGGTCGCTGTGGTGTTCGGTTTTCGCCACGCAGAGGAGAAGGAGGAACTACGGGGAGGGACTGACGGGTAGTCGGGGGGTCCACAGTAGATCGAAAGTGGCACGCGGCGCAATCTCTATTCGACCTGTACGCTGTGCGAAAACGCAGCGACGAGTCGACGTGGAGTAGAGAAATGGAGTGGGAGGGCCGAGACGGGGGGGGGGGGTACGACGAGGGGGGGGATGGGGGCGCCCGCGCGCGCGGCCACAAGAGAGGATGGGAGCGCCCGCGCGCGCGCTCAAAAGAGAGATAGAGAGAAACCGATCAATGAAAACGCTTGTTTTCCTCGTTGTATTTCTTTTTTATCCCCGGCTTGGCATATATGCTACTTTGGTTACTTTTGTTACTTTGGTTACTTTGGTTAATTTGGTTACTTTGGTTACTTTGGCTACTTTGGCTCCTCTAGAGCTACACTACATTTGGTTACTTTGGTTACTTCCCGGCTTGGCATATATGCTACTTTGGTTACTTTTGTTACTTTGGTTACTTTGGTTAATTTGGTTACTTTGGGTACTTTGGCTACTTTGGCTCCTCTAGAGCTACACTACTCTTATTTAAATGCTCTCTCGACTGACGGTGCTTCGTTCCCTTACACTCGTGCGCACTTTCTCCGTCGTATTACACTTTTCCTCCAGTCTCGAGGCTTAACGCCAGTGTCCTATTACCGTGTATTCGTACCGGTTAGCGCTCCGCTCGTTTTATTTTACTGCAAAAATATACGGACGAAGCTCTGGCACAAAGGAATGCCCGACGCGCACTCTAACGACAAACAAATATTACACGAACAAAATATTTCAAACGCTTGCTGCATCGTACCACGCGCGCGCGTATATGCTTAGCAATTTTTTTTTTGGTTTTTCTTTGTTTTTTTTTTTTGTTTCTTCTTTTTTTTCGCTTTTTCTTTTTTTTTTTTTTTTTTTTTTTGATATCTTTAAGTGAATGTTTAAATACTTTACTATATGCATTAAAATAAGCTTGTATTGGTAGGGGAATATTTTATTTTAGTTTAGTTTAATTTAGTTTAGTTGATCGGAATTGCGTGGAAAATCTCGCGGAGATACCTTCAGCATATTATTCAATTCAATAAGAAAGGCAATAGCCACTGGTAGAGAGATGACAGAATATAAGACAGCCAATAAGTACGAAATGGTTATATTTAAGGTTGAGACATTCGTGTTGAAGAAACGCCACATGGCGTTGTCATTCGCTTTCTAACCTCATTTCACCGGCTCGAAAATAAGTGCCAATACCTTCGTCATTGAATTTATCTAATATCGGAATGACCGGCAAGCAGCTTATTAGGTATGAGCGCGTTTGTCTCTCGTTTACGAAATCTCTAGCTCATTTGCACAATTTCTCATCGATGTCTCCTACCTAGCCTCCTCGTCATTCCAATCCCTCCCAAGGCTTAAACCTCGAAGCCGTGGCGAATCTGTCGTGAGCACGAGCTTCGCGGCTCCGGAGCGGGGAGTTTATTCGTAGGTGGGGGAGGGGGAGGGGGTGGTAACCCGCGCCCGGGGGATTACCTCGCGCGCATACGCAAACTCACCGACGGTCGACAGCTGTTGCACTACGGTCTCGTTCATCTTGAGGATGACGCTCGAGCCGGGAACGATCTGCTGGTGGCCGTGTTGCTGCTGATGCTGCTGCTGCTGCTGTTGCTGTTGCTGTTGCTGTTGCTGTTGCTGTTGCTGTTGCTGTTGCTGTTGCTGCTGTGTTTGTTGCGTCTGCATCGCGTAGGCCCAGCCTCGCGGCACTGTACTCGGTCAGCCAGGTCCGGGTACGGTCCGGGCTAGAGGACCCGCGGGCGCTCGGTGCGACTCCTGGGAATCGGTTTAGCGGATTACGACGCGCAGGCGCGCTATCATGTCTTGCGCGCAGACGTTGACCGACGTCTGTCCCGACTACACTGCCGCCATCGCAACTCGTTCACCGCCGCTGAGCTTCACCAAAGTTTTCTCGTGGGACGACGTAGGGGGGCAGCGCCGACGACGCGGCTGCTCCCTGACCCCCACCATCGGCCACCTTAGCGCAGCTCGACTCCCGGATCCCCACACCGCCTCGAGACCCTCGACCGCCACCACCACCACCACCACCTCCTCCTCCTACTCCTCCTCCTCCTCCTCATCCTCATCCTCATCCTCATCCTCATCCTCATCCTCATCCTCATCCTCATCCTCATCCTTCTCGCAGGAGAACGACGTAGACAATTAGGTCGATCTTGACGCCATGGCTCGGAGAATATCCTAGCCTCTAGCTCTACTCGCGCCTCTCGCCTTTCCATTTATTTCCACCTCATTCTTAATAAAGCTTGACGATGCTAGAATTCGCGATTTCCGCTGCTTAGAGGATGTATAATTCAATGTCAGATTCCGGAAAAGGCCCACTGTTTTTCCACCAAAATTCATTAACATTTTAAATGATGCAAATGTAACATCGATGACCCAAACAGCCATTATCAATTAAACAATTGTCTCGTGCATTTGAATACTTTGGTTAATTAATTTTTTTCTTCAATCGATTGTCACAATTATTAACAATAGCGCGTAACTTTCAATGTACGATATGAATTTCAACACAAATATTTCGTAAAATACAAAAAACTATTTCAAATAATCCCTAACGAATTATTGGAGTTGGGTGACGCGCTCATCGCAAGGTCGCCTCGAAAACATCTACCGATGACGCCATTTTACTTTTAAAAGAATCGATAAAAATCTTACACATTTGTATGCGTATATAATACGACCTTGCGATAAATATCCATTGCGAGCGGCTTCATTAATAAGAAAATATTTCATGAGTGGCGAAAATGCTGAAGCGGGTTTTTTTTTTTTTTTTTTTTTTTTTTTTTTTTTTTTTTGCACAATCGAGCGACAAGCGAAACACATATTAATCCGATTTCCAAGATTAGAAAAGCTAGCGTGATAAGATTGGCACGACCCAAGAACAAATAATGTACTATCAATTCGTAAATCGCGATTATAACGAAGTGGAAATGTAATGTCCTTAATAGAGGTCTATTGCAATGTACGATCTGATGTTTAATTTCTTCACAGATTTCAAGGACGCGCTGTCGCGAAAGCTAGAAAACTTAAGATTATAAGCGAGTAAATTTTAATAAATAATGTATAGTAGTACCTCCTCTCTCTCTTTGTTGTCTTCGTGTTTTTCAATTTCGCACGAAGGCCAAAAGCAATTGGCTTTAAATGCCGTGCTAATTGCAGATTTTATTAAAATGAAAGTTTGTTAATTTTGTAATCGCGCATTAAATGAAAACAGAAAAGTAAAAATTAAAAAATAAATAAAGAAGCGGTAAGATGTGGCCAAGGTATTGGGCAATTTTTTATTTACGTTACTTCCATTCACTGTACATTTTGCCAAAGTAAATTTTAATTACACTTTTTAATGAGAATTTTATTAATCTAATCGTTCGATAGAACTGCGATGAAGAAAGGATTACCGCTATATTCACAATGAGAAGTAGAAGAGAGAAAGAAAACAGTTAAACGTTATAAGATAAATATAATTTACTTGTATACTTCGTAATCACAATCATTTTTGGATTTTTTGAAGAAACATTCATTAATAGCGATAAAGATTTTAAATATTCAAAACAAATCTTTTCGTTCGGACGTTGCGCATTTCAACTAATAATTATAAGCCTACGAATTTTATAAAATAAATTCTCTAAAATAATTTATATTAGTTTAATAATAATTACATATACTTTCTTTTTTTTAATCTTTTTATTGTTATTTTATTATCATCCTATGCATAGAAATTGCAAATTACACGTACTTGTATTAAAAATAATTTATTAAAAATAATTCAATATAGCATTCATTAATGAGACTCTCGAGTCCCGTGATTTATGAGACTTTAATATTAAAGCTGTGATATATTTATCTACTTTTCTAACTTTCTATCCTAAAAGTAGTGAAAATAATAAATCTATGCTTAATTGGATCGAGAGTCAATTTATTTAAGAATTTTTAAGCACACAATAAGGAGATATTTTTAATTATTCATTGAATGCGTATTGTTTGCAATGTTAACAGGGTAAAATAAAGATAGAAGAATCCACGATTACTCATTATTTACCAAACTTTAGATCAATTCGACGTGATAATGAACAAACGTAAATTAAAACAAGCCGGATAAACGTTGGGGGGATATTTGTAGAATAATATCATTCTTCTCCTTATATCTCTGTCCTTCGCTTATTTCGATTTATCGAACACAAAAGGATATACAATCCGGAGAAATTATCAATAAATTATCCGTAATATAGTAAATTATTTTTATAATTTACCGTGCGATCGTTTCATTTATGATTATAGTCAAACGACAGTAGGCAAATTATTTTCCACGTATAAAATATTAAGATAAATTACGAAAAAGTTAAATTTAAACTTACGCGTTACGAAAGCGGGCACACGTGTCGCGTAGTTCACACTTCTTCAAAAGTAAATTACAATTGGCAAAATAAAGTGTATTTACATTTCAATTACCAGAAAGCCGTGTATTTACGTGCTTAACCTCAAAATTATGCATATCACAAGGCAGAATTTTCATATATCATCATCCAATCCCTTCGCGATACTTTCAACAATACTCCATTTTATCGACAAATTATATATTCTCTCTCTTGCTCTCTCTCTCTCTCTCTCTCTCTCTCTCTCTCTCTCTCTCTCTCTCTATTTCCCCGACGCCCGTTGAGTTGGCGTTTCAGCTAGTCGCGCGTCTTCGGCTTTAATTTCATATTTCCCGCCCTCGCTATGCCACCCTATGCCTTTGTCGTACTCACTGTACATAATTTAAGGTCTATAGTATATACCGCGACGTTGGCCTTCCGTTTCCCACATTTTACCGGTATTCTTCGCTTACTCTGCCAGTTAAGGTTTCGCTGTTGCTTACGACCGAGTTTCTAACCAGTTTTTCTGCATCCACGAGCTTCATTGGGAAAATGGCCGAGAACAAAGAGCAGACTTTCATTATGATCAAGCCCGACGGTGTTCAGCGAGGCCTTGTCGGCAAGATTATCCAGCGATTCGAGGATAAAGGCTTCAAGCTCGTCGCCATGAAGATGCTTTGGGTGCGTGCATCTGTTCGAATTAACGAATCATTTATTTCAGGGTTTTTTTTTTCTTTTACCGACACGTGGCTGGAGATTATAGCTCTTTCGACCCTTTCTTCTTCAATATAAATTGTCCTAACGATGCGTAGCTATTAGCTTTTGTTGATTTGTTCGAATTTGAATCGTAGTAAACTAATTGATTATTCCTTTTATTCGACACAACGTTATTCTTGACTCTTACATATGTTTTATTATATTTTAATAGATTTAATCGTAGCTTCGAATTTTTTCTTCCAAATATTACGAGTCATGTGAAGTAACTGTATGATTGTGTTGTTGATAATGTCAGTCGTATTATGTTTGACTATAATCGTCATGATTAAAGCGGCTTTATTTATATATTTTTATTATTTTAGCCCACAGAGTCTCTTCTTAAACAACATTATTCAGATCTCTCCAGCAGGCCATTTTTCCCTGGTTTGGTCAAGTACATGAGTTCCGGACCAGTCGTGCCTATGGTAAATATAGCTCTTGTTTTAGATGACAATAATGATAAGTAGAAATACCTGACCTTAACGGTCTGTAATGATATTGATATATATATATATATATATATATGTAAAGTTGCTATGACCTTGTCAGTGTTGTCATTGAGAAGCCTTTGAAAAATTTTTATCTTAATTATGTAATAAAGTAACAATATGTATGCGGGCATACATATTGTATATTCCAAATCAATTTATTTAAGAGATCCATTAGTACTGAAATTAAATGTCAGTCGATGAAATATTATTTATAATTTGATTAATAAGTTAGTTAGAGTATAACCGATATAAAGCAGATAAATTTTTAATTTTCATAATTTCTATTGTGTATCGTCTCATAGTGGAATGGGATTAACCTTAGGTGTATTTTAATAGAAAAACATTGGATCTAATGTACTGTAGAATCTGCGGAATTGAATAATTGACATTTTGAATATTACATTTGCCTTTCTCAATAATTTCAATTTTCATAACTTACTTATTATCAGAAAATAATATAAATATTTAAATAAGAAAATTATATTCTTCTAGGTTTGGGAAGGTCTTAATGCCGTTAAAACAGGACGTGTTATGCTTGGTGAAACCAATCCTAAGGATTCTGCTCCTGGTACAATTCGTGGTGATTTTTGCATTCAAGTTGGACGCAACATCATTCATGGATCAGATTCTGTTGAATCAGCAAATAAAGAAATTAAATTATGGTTTGGTGATGAGAAAGAATCAGAACTCACTGATTGGTCTTCCTGGGCTGATAAATGGATCTACGAATAAATAAGTTCCTGTAACATTTTTCATTCCACTAAAAAATCTGTATTTCTTCTGTCAGAGGTAGTTGCAACATTTGTAATGCAATGATAAGCTTCAGAATTAGTGCCAACTGTACATACCAACTATAACTGATACATAGCGAAACAATAAAACAACATGTATTGGGATCGTACTGGATAACGTGTGTCCACATTTAATTGTTTTAATTTCGATTTTAGAAATTGGATGTATTTTTAAATGATTGTTTAGAAATATGTCACATTAATTTTATGAAGTCCTAATTTTAATTGTTAACGATGGAAATCAAAAAATCCGTAATATTTTAAAACCGAAAGCTTGTTTTTTATTTAGAATGAAAATTGTATGAAATATCGTCTATTATAAAATGAAATTTTTTAATGAAATGTATTCGAGTGTAGTGTATGAACTATGATATATACAATTTTTAACGATAGCTTTATGTATATTTTTTATCGATCTTGTTTGTACTTTTCATTGTAACACCAAATATACACAATATTGTAATATTTTAAATTAAAGGAACTACTAAATTATATATAATAAAATTATAATGAATTTTACATCTAAATAAGTATTTTTCTTCAATTTATTCTCTAGAAATTATACTATTATGTAACATTTTATATACAAAATTTGCAAACATTTTAATGTAGCGTCTATTAAAACAAAAAGTTTCTTATGTATGTAATTTACAGTTCTAGTATAAAAATATGTTTGCAAGATTATTTTAGAAATCAAAAAAAAAAGATGTCTGCGAATGAAAATTATAAACCTAATATGTTTCGTAGCTACATTGATTACTTAAATTGTTTGATTTGTACCAAAGACACGAGTAACATTTAACAATAAACTTCATTAAATGATATTAAATAATAAATATGCTAATTGCAATTGCAAGAAGACTATTTGTTGAATTATTTGTCTTAAAAGATTTAAGAATCTGTCAAGCCTATGTTATTAAGGTACGAAATGCAAAAATATATATCAAAACTTGTGCTTTATCGGGGATATTTGTAAAGATTTTAGTCATGAAAAAGAATTTCGTTTAATTGAAAACTTGAATGAGATGAAAATTATTATTTTTAAATGTAAAATTTTTTTGTTGTAAATGTTTTTAAATTCTTGAAAAATTAAAAATGTAAACACAATATTGCGTTATGTCTAGTAATAAATATTTTTGTAAATGCATCTATATATACGTGTGTCTGTATATATATACATATGTGCAGACATACATACAATAGCCCGTTTAAATATATAATGAAATAAACATAAAGTAAAAATAAGCGTATGAAATTTGTTCTAATATTGTTTTCTTTTTTTGTAATGAATTTGTTTGAAAAGACGTAATTGCTTTATTTAATAAATACATATATTATTCAAATGTGCAATATTCAGAACTTATTGATTTTAGTGCAATGATAATTCAATTTCAGATTATCGAATCAAGTCTGAGTAGTTATCGTTTCAAAGAGTAGTAATAAATTATATGAAAACAAAATTTCCAATAAGAACTTTGCAATTTACGACATTATAATTCACCAATGTAATAAAAAATAAAAAGATAATTAGAAAAAAAGAATTTCTTTAATTTGAGAACTAAATATTGATATAATTGAAAATTATTTAAGCCATGAAATTCCAATGAAAATTCTGCATTTAAGACAATGATATTTCAAGATCTATAAATGCCTTTGTGTATATAGAAGGTATTTATAGATATTGGTGTTTTGGTAATAATAAAATTCAATTAAAAACATCTATTATAAATATAATAAATAAATTAATTAATAAAGATTGTTAAAAAAGGGAAATTATGAGAAGCGTGAGTATATTGCTGCACTTGATAGGCATTTTATTCAATAGCACGATAATAAAAAATTTATTTTGATAAGAAAATGGGTTGAGTTCTTATATAAGAATAAATGAATTTTTATTTGTTTAGCATAAAATCACTTTTGTATATACCATGAGAAATGTTTAAATATTGTCCTTAATTGTCAATCGTCTATGTAATAAAATACTTTTGAGTTTTTAATATCGTAATATATATATATATATATATATATATATATATATATATATATATATATACAGGCATATTTATATTTTAAAAGAATATGAGAATATAAAGATATTATAGAAACTGATGTTTATTTCTAATTTACATATAGATTATATTTTGCAAAAACAAAAAAATTTTCTATTAATACCATAGAGGATAAAACTCAGGTAACATTTCTCTTTCAGATTTCAAGCCTCTGTTTCAGGTCCTTAAAAATGAATACTTTCTATTGGATATGCAAGTAGATTGTAAGAGGGAGAGCATTGAGACATATACGAGGTATTTGAATAAAGAATAAATCGTAGCAGTAATTAAGAAACACAGATTTAACACAAATATGATTTCGTTAGTTGCTTGTGAGAAATTTGCCCTAATCCGTTTCGTTTTTTCACACATTACCGTTGTGGGCGATTCAATTTGAAAAATGCTAAGGGCTAATAGGAAAATAATAATAGTCTGCTTTGTCTTATTAGACCAAAATACATTCTGTTACCCTCATTGTTAACTACATATATAATAATAATAATAAAATTGTTAAAATTGAGATATTCATTGCGAATACTCGAATACTTGAATGCTTATTACACTCAAACTTCCTTGTGTGTGATAAGATACATAATTACAGATATAGTGAGAGAGAGAGAGAGAGAGAGAGAGAGAGAGAGAGAGAGAGACAAGAGAGATTAAAAATTATAATCCGAGTATCCTCTATTAAATTAAAAAATTGCTTCAAAAGATATTTTAGGTGCATATAGCATATCAACTGTAAAAGTAAAATTTTTTTTTTGCTTCTTTATTTAACTTTTGCTTTTATGACTTTGCTCTAGATATGAACTTATTAAAGATATAAATCTTTGAAAATAGTGTCTGCAATAAAAGAACGGCCTTGATAAACCCGAAATACATACGCACAGACTAGTGCTAAGCGAAAAAATAGCAATTTTCTTGCGCACAAAACGGCACTTTCAACATTTTCCACACGACGCGTCAGTCCTCTGTAGTATTCCATAAATAATTCATGCAGTCAAAATAGCAGCGAACCTTTAATAATCTTAGCAACTTTAAAGTACCAACTGATAATGTCGAATAAATTTCATAAATCTAGGTGGAAGTTGCGTAGCGCACCTTATAGCGAGGTGTACACAAAGGCTGCGTAAAAGCATTATCACCACGCACTGCGTAGCCTACGTGTCCAATTGATAAAAAGAAACTCGTCAGTCAAGTGGAGATACGCACGTATCAGACACCATTACGCGCGAGGCTGTGAAATAATTTTCGTCCGCGAGTTCGCCGTCTTATCGGGAAATCGCTACATTCGCCCAACGCTATTATTAACAAGCGCAAATCCACGGTGGATTTAAGACACAGTAAGTGACAGGAAGGGAACGGTGTTAAAGGA